GGTGGGCGCCCTGAGAACCTGTACAGGTGGGTGCGGCGAGGGCCCACACGGGTGGGCGCCCCGAGAGCCTGTACACGTGGGTCTGCAAGGGCCCGCACAGGTGGGTGCCCCGAGAACCTATACAGGTGGGTGCCGCGAGGGCCCACACAGGTGGGTGCCCCGAGAGCCTGTACAGGTGGGCACCCCGAGAACCTGTACAGGTGGGCACCCCGAAGACCTGCACAGGTGGGCGCTCTGAGAACCTGTACAGGTGGGCGCCCTGAGAACCTGTACAGGTGGGTGCTGCAAGGGCCCGCACAGATGGGCGCCCCGAGAACCTGTACACGTGGGTGCTGCAAGGGTCCGCACAGGTGGGCACCCCGAAGACCTGCACAGGTGGGCGCTCTGAGAACCTGTACAGGTGGGTGCCGCGAGGGCCTGCACATGTAGGTGCCCCGAGACCCTGTACAGGTGGGCGCCCCGAGAACCTGTACAGGTGGGTGCCGCGAGGGCCTGCACAGGTGGGCACCCGAGAACCTGTGCAGGTGGGTGCCGCGAGGGCCTGCACTGGTAGGTGCCCTGAGACCCTGTACAGGTGGGTGCTGCAAGGGCCTGCACAGTTGGGTACCCTGAGGACCCCCACAGGTGGGCACCTTGGGGTCCTGCACAGGTGGGCACTCTGAGGACCCCCCCACAGGTGGTCGGGTACCCTGCCACTTTGGCAGTAGGCCAGGCCCAGGTTGGCACCATACATGCTCCCCAAGCCAGAAAAGCCATGCCCCATGCCACCAGGGCAGTCCTGCAGGACAGCCTGCAGGACTGAGAGGTGCTGCCCTGGGTGTCCGAGGCCGGCCTCTGCGGCAGTGCTGCCACGTCCTCCTGTGGAGCAGGGTGCTTGAACCGCCAGCTCTCTGGTTCGTGGTCAAGCACGTTCACCGCTGTGCCGCCACGGAGCCAACACTACACTCTGGAGTTGAGTCACCGGCGCCCCCTCACTCTAGTCATGACGTGCGGGCACCTTTCCTGAGGGCCCAGGGCACACACTTCTCTCCCCCCTCCTGGCATCTATCTGTCCAGCCCTTGGTGACCCTTCCCTTGTGGCCAAATTGGTCCAGTCTTTGCATCCCTGGCCCCCACGTCTACAACCCCCCTCCACAGAGGAGTATGCTTCCAGCTCCATCTGCCTCCCTGCCTGCCCCACCCCCGCCCCGCCTGCCACCCCTGCCCCTTGTCCACCCCTGAGGAAGCTCAAGCACTCCCTGTCCTGCTGTGTCAGGAGGGCAAGTGTCCTGGGGGGTGAAGTGAAGGAGGGTGTGTCCCAGGGCAGTGTAGCCACCTGCATGGGAGGACCACAGGGAGGATACCGGGTGTCTGTCCTGGCCCCGGGGCCCCCAGTCCACCCATCATGTCTAGCTGGTGGGGCTGGTGACAGGGGTTTACTTCAAGGCAGAGCTTCTGACCCCACCCTGTCCCCCAGAGCCACCAACAACAGTCGGGTCAGGGAGACAGTGGCCCTGGAGCTGAGTTATGTCAACGCTAGCCTGCAGCTGCTGAAGGAGGAGCTGGACCAGCTGGACTGCGGCGTGGACACGCCATGGCCTGAGGGGTGCGTGCCTGCGTGGCCGGTCAGGTTCACTTTTCCGTGTACACCGCGCGCGCATCTGTGTGTGTGGGGGGGGGGCAGTCAGGTTCACTGTGTGCAGATCACTCATGTGCGTGTGTGTGTGTGTGCGCGTGTGGTCAGGGTGGCCTAGGTCTAACTCCAGGGTCTAGAGTGAACACTCTGGTTCTAGCGAGGGGGCCAGCATCCCCATGATCCCACTGGGACTGAAGGAGACCCAGGAAGTAGACTGGTCCACACCCCTAAAAGTAAGTGCCAAGTCCCCTGTTGAGGTGAGGAGACAGGTCCTGTCCTGGGGCTGTGAGGGGAGAGGGCCTATCCTGGGGATGTGAGGGGACCCAGTCCTGTCCTGGGGCTGTGAGGAGACCCAGCCCTGTCCTGGGGGTGTGAGGGGACCCAGCCCTGTCCTGGGGCTGTGAGGGGACCCAGTCCTGTCCTGGGGCTGTGAGGGGACCCAGTCCTGTCCTGGGGCTGTGAGGGGCCCCAGTCCTGTCCTGGAGGGTGGACATCCAGGAGGTAGCCTCCAAAACCATCCCTGCCCCGTCAGGAGCTGATCTCAGAGCATTTTGGGGAAGATGGGGCCTCCTACGAGGAGGAGCTCAAGGCGCTGGAGGACCTGAGACAGGTGTGTAGCTATCACAGATCAGCTCGGTGTAGATGTTTCCTGACCTAGGGGGCCGCAGGCATGTGCACATCCCTCCATGCTCAGAGCCTGGCAGGGACCAGGGCACACCCTCAAGGGTGTTTGTTCATCCTCTGGGACCCTGCTGGCCTCGTCCTCATGTGACCTCCATTTGTGTCCTGCTGACTACTGAGGGGGGGTGGGCAGTGAGGAGGTTTGGCCTCCGCTGGGGACAGGTGCCCTGGAGTATTCCCCTGACCTGGGTGACCCCTGCTCTCCCCTGTCCCTGTTCTGGGGCTGACTCCTGCAGGCCACACGGACACCCAGCCGGGACCAGGCGGGCCTGGAGCTGCTCATGTCCTACTACAACCAGCTGTGCTTTGTGGACGCCCGCTTCTGCGTGCCCACCCGGAGCCTGGGGCTGCTCTTCCACTGGTAGGGCCCCCCTGCCACCCCCCCCCCCTACCCAGAGCCTGGGGCTGTTGTTCCACTGGTAGGGCCCCCCTGCCACCCCACTCCTTGCCCTGCCGCATCCCCAAGTTCTCCCCATGGCCGGCCCCTCTGCAGGTACGACTCGCTCACAGGGGTCCCTGCGCAGCAGCGGACCTTGGCCTTCGAGAAAGGCAGCGTGCTCTTCAACATTGGGGCCCTCTACACCCAGATCGGGGCTCGGCAGGACCGATCGTGCCCACAGGGCACCGACTGCGCCATCGAGGCCTTCCAGCGCGCCGCAGGTGAGGGCCGCTTGCCCAGGCCCATTTACAGGCAGGCGGGCACTAGGCAGGGCAGGAGGGGCGGCAGCTGGTCATAGGTGCAAGGAGGGTTCCCCAAGCAGGAGAGAGCTCATCCTGCCATGTGCCCCCCGCCACACAGCAGGGAGGGGCATGGATCTCCCAGGTGTGTGGCAGGGACAGGAGGGGCTGTAGTGAGCGCTCCTGGAGATGCAGCACAGGGACCCCCCAGAATACGGCAGGGGGGGTTCATAGTGAGCGCCTGCTCTCGGTGCAGGAAGGGACTTCAGCATGGGGTGGGGACGGAGGCCCCGTGGTGAGCGCCCCCCTCTGCAGGGGCCTTCAGCCTCCTCAATGAGAACTTCTCCCACGCTCCGAGTCCCGACATGAGCCCAGCCGCGCTGCATGTGCTCAAGCAGCTCATGGCCGCCCAGGCCCAGGAGTGCATCTTCGACAGCCTCTCCCTGCCGGCCCCTGTGGACCCTCACGACAGCCTGGCACAGCTGCATCTGGCCCAGGAGGCTGCCCAGGTGAGGCCTCCACCCGTCCAGACTTGATCCCTGAACAGGTGGTTGGGGGTTGGCAGGACGGGGTGCCAGGAGGGCTGATCAGGGCCAGTCTCTGGGATGAAGCTGTTTCTCATGCTGATGTCCTGGTCCCCAGAGCTAGATGGGGCTGCATCAACCAGAGCAGGGACTGGCAAGGCCCAAGCCCCCTGTGGACTGGGGTGCGGGAGCTGCTGCCCTGAGACTAGACTGGCCCCCGGCTGGGTGGGCCCCTGACTCTCCCTGTGTCTGCTGGCAGGTGGCGACCGAGTACAGCCTCGTGCACCAGGCCCTGGCCCAGCCCCCTGCCCGAGACTGTGTGCCTGGCTCCTGGGCCGCCCTGGTACAGGCCAAGGCTGAGTACTTCCGCGCCCTGGCCCACTTCCACACAGCTGTGGCCCTCTGTGACAGTCCCGGTGAGTGTCCTGCCTGCGCCGGTGCGGGTGCTGGGTGGCAGGCTTGGGCCAAGCTCACACCCTCTCTGTCCTCAGCTCCCTCCAAGGACGAGCTCAAGTGTGAGCTTCGACCTCCCTGGGCCTCAGAGCCTCCAGGCCTCGAGCTGCCGTTGGAGCTGGAGGAACGCAGGAAGCAGGGTGAGGCCTGTGGGAGATCTCCAGCCCTTTCCACCACCCCTGCAAGGTGGAGGGACCCCAGCAGCAAAGCCAAGGTCCCGGGGTAGGGCATCATCCCAGGGGCGCAGAGTTGCCTGTGATTCACGCCCCACCTCTGGCCAGCTGGGGGCCACAGGCTAGGCAAGGTCCACCAGCCGCGAGTGACAGCCTCTGCACACTGCAGGCAAGGCCCACCTAAGACGCGCCATTCTGGGCCAGGAGGAGGCGCTGCGGCTGCATGCCGGATGCCGCGTGCCACGCCAGGTGGACCTGTTACAGGCCGTGGTGGCTCAGGCACTGCGGCGCTCCCTGGCCAAGTACTCAGAGCTGGACCTTGAAGATGACTTTTTCGAGACCACAGAGGCCCCTGACATCCAGCGTGAGCACTGGGTTTGGTGGGGCACCCTTTGGGGAGAACCCTGTGTGCCCGCCACCTGTGACCTAAAAGGGGCTAGTTCAGGGAGCTTGGGGAAGGCAGACCTCCACACTGGCCACTCTGGCCTCCCACAGCCAGTCCTACCCCAGGGCAGCACGCCCTGCCAGCCAAGATTCAAGGGTGCTTGGCAGTGGACCTTGGGCAGACAGGCCACCTGTGCAGGCCCCCGGGTTGGGGACAGACCCTCTCATGTCCACCAGAGGGCTGCCTTGGGTGCCAGGGACTATCAGCGACCCTGGGTCCTCACAGCCTGCTCCGCCTTCCTTCTAAGCTAAAACGTGTCAGAAACTGGAGATCAGGACGCCCAGCTTCTCCCAGGTGAAGACCGCTGACCTCTTCCACAGGCTGGTGAGCCCCCTCAGCCCCTCAGGGTCCCCACACAGGCTGGGGGACACAGACACCCTCCACCACACTCAGATAGCCCCTCAGAGCCCCCAAAGGCCTGGGAGTCACAGGCACCCCCATATCCCTTGTCTGGGCCCTGGGCCCAACCCCCCCAGCATACATACACTCTGGGGACACTTCTCAGTTCCCATCCTGGGTCCCCAACCAACTCCCTAAGTGAACAAGGGTGGGCAGACCCCCTCTGGTGGGTCTCCTGGGGTGTATTGGCTGGGGTCCCAGTCAGGCAGGGGCTCTGACCTCTGACCCCCCCACTCCCAGGGACCCCTGTCAGTGTTCTCAGCCAAAAACCGCTGGCAGCTGGTGGGGCCTGTGCATGTGACCAGAGGAGAGGGGGGCTTTGGCTTCACGCTGCGGGGGGACTCCCCTGTGCTCATTACAGCCGTCATCCCGGGGGGCCAGGCTGCGGTAAGAGGCTGCCCACTGTCCGCCCCAAGTCCCTTTCCCAGAGCGACGCCGTGTCCACACACATACCCTCTCTACTTCCTCCACATGGCCCTGCTCACGGCCACCCCCACTCACAGTTGTCACCACATGTCACCAGTCATGGTCACCTCCCTTTCCACACGCCCTGTGCGTGTTCACAGTCCCTCACACTGTGCCCGTGTGCACACACCCCTCACAGTCTCACAGCCGCACCCTGTCACAGTCACCCACCTGCACCCCGTCACAGCCGCACCCCATCAGTCTCCTACCTGCACCCCTTTACAGCCACACCCCGTCACAGCCACACCCTGTCACAGTCACCCACCTGTACCCCGTCACAGCCGCACCCCATCAGTCTCCTACCTGCACCCCGTTACAGCCGCACCCCGTCACAGCCGCACCCCGTCATAGCTGCACCATGCTCACGATTAAACACACATCCTCCTGCTCATGTGGGCACCCTCCCCTCCTCCTCGCGTGGGCACCCCTCCCCCTCCTCACGTGGGCACCCCTCCCCCTCCTCGCGTGGACACTCCTCCCTCTCGCTGCTCACGTCCACATCCCTGCATCCCTGCCCACCCTCCGCAGGAGGCCGGCCTCAAGGAGGGAGACTACATCGTGTCGGTGAACGGGCAGCCATGCAAGTGGTGGAAGCACGCCGAGGTGGTGGCACAGCTTCGGAGTGCCGGTGCTGAGGGGGTGGAGCTGGGCGTGGTGACGCTGCTGCCTGCTGCTGTGACGCCCAGCTCGGTGAGGTCCAGCCTGTCCCTGGTCCCACGTAGCTGCCCCTCCCTGTGCTCCATGGGGAGACAAGTGGCCTGCACTAATAGGACGCTTGGGGGCATGGCCCCCTGTGCCTGCCGCAGCCAAGCCTCTGTCCACAGTGCTCCTCACCACCCTGCCTCCGCAGTCTCCTCCCCTGATGGCTGAGGGGGTAAAGCCACACGTCCCTGGCCCCACACCTGCCCTGCTGGGTGCTGACCCTGCCTGTCTCCGGTGCAGGGAGACCGTCGGCCGGCCCTGCTGAGCATGGGAGCCCTGCTGAAGAGCCAGAAGGGCCGAGAAACGCCAGCACCTCCTCGGACCAGCCCCAGGCCCCTCCTTGGCTGGAGCCGCAAAGCTAAAGTGGGGAAAGCCCGGCGCCTGGTCCCCTCGGACACTGCCACCCTGGTCCCGGACCCCTGCGGGCCACCCTCACCGCGGAGTGTTCCAGCTGACCGTGGGGGGCGGACTCCCACTTGCCATTAAAGACTGCCTCCAGGCAAGCCTGGGCTGCGAGCTTCACACCCACCTGTGGAAACGGTGTCTGCTGGCCGGTGTGGCCTGTGGTGGTGGCTGGGGGTGGGTGGAAGGGCTCTGGAGGCTGGAAGAAGCTGTCTGTGGGTGAAGGGGTCATGACTGATGCAGGAGAATTGGGCTCTGTACAGTGGATTCTTGCCCCTGGCCCCCCAGCCTAGGCCAGCTGCACTGCCCCTGCCTGTCCACACTGTCCCTTGACCCCCAGCCTTCCTGTTCCTGCCTGATCACTGGTTCTCAGTGCCTCCCTCCATGGTGAGGGGCTTGGCCTGGCCCCTCCCTCTCTCCCACACCAGAAGTGAACACCGGGGGCACTGGTTTGGAGCTACTGGTCAGCAGCTTGTCCCAGGCCCACTTGAGTTCAGCCATGTGTGCCCAGTCTGCCCGCAAGCCCTCAGAGTCCCCATGCAGGGAACGGGGCAAAGGACAGGCCCTGAATGAGCTGGGTGGGTGGGAAAAGGAGTGCTCCCGCCTTGGCCTGTTCTGTGCCATCAAGTCGCAACTCACGGCAACCTTATGTAAAACAGCCCTAAACCCTGCTCTGTCAGGTTCCAGGCTCACTGCCTCCAGCACACCCATCCTGATGACCCCATTCACTGAATCAATCCACCTCAGAGGGTCTTCCTCTCCTGTGCTGTCCCTCCACCCTCACAAGCATGACATCCCTCTCCAAGGACCTGTCCCGCCTTGTAACATGCCCAGAGTGTGTGAGACGCAGCCTCAGAATCCTCGCCTCCAGGGAGCCGCCTGGGGCGGTCAAAAGACCAGGCTCAGCGAAGAGGGGTGGACAGTCCTGGGCTGCGGTGCTGCTCCCCGTGGCCACCAGGGGGCAGGCACTTCCAGCTCAAGTGGTCCACGAAGGGGAAGGAGCCGGAGACCATCCTTCTGCTCCAGGCACAAGCCTCCAGCTGCACAGGGGGTCTGGAGTGGACCGGCCTCCCCTGCCTTCCTGGTGTGAGTGCATTCCGGTGGAGAGTGCGTGTCTGTGGGCTGTGCGTGTGTGTTCCGAGGGAGCACAGTTCTTGTGTGTACATACGTGGTCGTGCATGGGTGTGAGGCCACGTGTTCATGTTGGGGAGTGAGCACGTTGGGGTAATGTGCTGTGGGGTGCAGTCAGATGCAGTCTAGGAGGGGCCCAGGGGCACCCTCCCTGCCCACTCGCCCGAGAATCCTGTCTCAGCAGAACCGGCCAAGGGCACCTAGGTGTCCGCAACGTTTATTAATTTGGTTAATAAAACTCCTCGTCATGGAGCCCATTACACGCTAATCAGGGGTGACATGACAGTCTGGGAGATGCAGCCCTGTGACCCCCCCACGTGGGGAGTGTGAGCCTCCTGGTCCTCACGGGCCGATTGACAAGGAGTGCGATCCTCTCCGCCCCTCCTTGGTGCCCAAGACCCTGTCAGGCAGGAGTGGAATTCCCACTGTCCTGGGGTCTGTGAGGGGGGTGAGCCCAGCCATCCTTAGAAGGTGGCAATACACTGTGGGTGCCATGGGCCCATCCCAGGTCCAAGGAAACCTTCAGGGCAGTGTCCAGCCCGGCTGCGCAGAAGGCTGACCTCTGAGAGCCAGCCTGGGCCTAGCCCTTTCCCACACAGCCAGTGCAGTGTGCCCAGTTGGGTGCCCAAGGTATCCATGCTGGGTACTGGGCAGTCTGTAGGAGGACAGAGCTGCCACACCACTGAGGTCACCTTGACTCAGGAGGGACCATGGAAAGGCCATCTTGACTCTCTCACTGCCTTGAATGCTTCTAGAAGGCTCCAGGGGTGTGCTCACTACCTGCTAAGGAGGGCGCTCCGGGGACCCCCACACAAAGCGGCATTGTATGCCCTGGAGGCACCCACCACCCGGGAGCTTTCAGCTTCCAGCCCCTGCGGGCGGAGGGGGAGGAGCGGATGCGATGAGGTCCTTCCTTTTTGCTTCGCCAACAGAAAATTACCGAGAGGAGAAAAGGCAAACTGTTTCGCTTGGGTCAGCAGGAGCCTCCGCTTGGATATTAATGCGGGAGAAGGAGTGGGAGGCAGTGCCGCGGGGGTGGGGGCAGGACCTCTCCTGACGTCTCCTCGGACCCAGCTCCCTCCAGACACAGCCCAAGGCTGCCTGACTGACTGCCCACTCTGGCTGCCCACTCCAGGCCCACAACCTGGGTCTTACCTGGATCCCACTAAGGAGAGAACACTGTGAAGCCTCCGTATTAGGCTGACCAAGACTGAACCCCAAGGAACCCCAGACTCACTACCTTAGGACGCCATGCTGGAGAAGCTAGACCTCCAGACACTGGTTTGTCTGAGGCAGAGCAGCTGTCAGCATGTATCCTGGGGAGCTCAGATGTAGGCAGCTGGAAGACAACATGTGGTGACCCCGTGTGGACCCTTCTCTGGGGCTGGTGCCAGGCAGGAGAGCAGAGGTTGACCGTGGAGCCCAACTCCTGACATTGGGGCTTCGTGGGACAGAGGGAAAGGGGGTACTGGGAGACTGACCCCAGCCAGGGGCGAGGATGTGGCCCCAGAGGCTCCTTGTCTGGACGGTGGTCTCACACGTGGAGTCATCCAGGTGACATTGCCCCAAACTCAGTTGTCCTGAAATCCAATGACCCAGGAAAAAGCACAATGAAGACAGGCAGAAAAGGGGTGATGTGCTGCCAACCCAGGACGCTAGCAGCCCCCAGAGCAGGTGGAGGTGGGGAGGATGTTAAAGGGCATCTGGGAGCCCAGCTCTCCTGACTGTGAGTGCCATGTCGGGCAGCCCTGGGGGACATGTACGGACACCGATGCAGTGGGGAGATGGCCCAGAGAGGGCTGGGTACCCCCATTGTCCTCCATAAACCCCTATATCCCAGCAAAAGAAGCAGGTGATGGTCCATGTGGCTCCCAGACCAGCTGGCTCGTGCCATCATCTGCCTCTGGGGTCACCTTCCTGCCATGCCAGAGCCCTGACAGCCACCTCTCCCCTCCCCTTTCCCCCCTGCCTCTGCCCCCTGTCCATGCATTGCTCCGGGATCCATCCTGGACCCTCTGTGGAGTGGCCAGCATTGCCTGCGCAGGGTCCTGGGACACAAGCCCAAACCATGTGGCTACCACCTCCCTAGTTCCACTGGGGGGGGGATGGGCTGTGGTGGCGGGACAATTCCTTTGTCCTCAGAGTTCTCAGAGGGCTGGTTTTCTGGGAGAAAGCAAGGACCACTCACAAGGCAGGCACAGCTCTGATGATTAGAGTCCTCTGCTTCGTGGCTGTGGAGTGACCAAGTGACACAGGCCACTGGTGATGACTGGCACCACTTGCTGCAAGGAGCCCCCACCACCGCACTGTGTCTTCCTTGTGACACTGGCTCCTGTCCCCAGTCTGTCACCTACTGCCTGAAAGTGGAGGCAGGCAGGTTGCACGTCTGTGGCTGGAGGGCTTCCTGGTTGAAGCACAGGTTCCCATGTGGGGAGAGCAAGTCCCAGGGGCATCAGCTGTGCCCCACAAAGTGAGCAAAGGTACTGTTGTTGATTGACCCTTGGCCTCAGTTTCCCCACTCAGACTATGACCAGAGATGCCTGAGCCTGCTAGGTGCCTTGTGGAGACCAAGGCCACTGAGCTAGATCAGCCCTCACACCCAGACACCACTGCTGGGGGTCCACCAGGCCCACCACCACGGGACGCCACTGCTGGGGGTCCACCAATCCATCACGTGCTCACATGACGTGTAGGAGCACGCAGACAGGCATGTGAACACATGACTCTCAGGAGCACGTGCTCCTCACTGACCAGAGCATGTCTTCCCACCTCCCCAGGAGCTGTACGGCAGGTGGGCCAGCTCCTCAGAGAAAGGGGTGTGGTGGCCCGATGTTAATCCCCTGCCCTCCCCCCCACCATTATGACAGTGGCCACGGTCTCCAGCACCGTCTGTGTGCCCACAGAACCACTTCTCAACCCTCATCAGCTCCATTAACAGCAGTGTCCATCTCACCACCCCCACACCAGGCCACCCACCACCTTCATCACTGCCGCCTCCAACACCAGCAGAACGGTGACCTCGATGTCCAGCACCACCACCTGCGTTGTCAGTTTCCATCTCCAGCAGCGGCAGCAGCACCGTCACTTCCAGCATCATCACTACCTGTAGCATCATCAGCATCACACTATCACCAGTGATGTCAACATCAGACTTGCCAGCAAAACAGCCCTCTGCCTCATCCATTGTTTCAGACCCTGCTGGCCCTAGAGCCCATCTGACCACGAGCTTTGCCGGCCCCATCATCAGCCTCAGAGTATCACAGGCTGCTGTGCTCCCGGCTGATGCGGGGACTCCAAGGTGGGATGTGGAGAGGCAGAGTTCGCGCCCTGGACGAGGCTGTAGTGAGATGTTAGGAACACAGACTGGACCACTGGGACTGCTGGCAGGAAGCCACTGTGTACATAACTCTTAATTGCTCTAATATCCACAGCCCACATCCACTCCCTTATCTCACACTCACCTCCACATCCCACTCCCCCATCCCACACTCCAACCACATCCCACCCCTCAACCCACATTCACTCCCATATCCCACCCCTCACCCCACACTCAAACCACATCCCCCACATATACTCCCAGTCCCCCACGACCCCTATGACCCCCACAGCCCACATTCACATCCACATTCTACACCTCCCCCACATCCCACCCCCAACATCCCACAGCATCCCACACACACTCCCACATTCTATACACACATATTCCCCCAACACGGAGCCCCCCACATCTCACACTTAAACCACATCCTGCACACATGCTCACATCCCACACCCCCCATGTCCCTCACCCCCTACAGTCGCCCACAGCCACCCACAACCCCCACATCCCGTACACAAACCCACATCCCACACCCCTGCCAAAACCACCGACATCCCACACTCACACCCCATCCATGGCCTCAGACATAGTCCACAACTCACAACCTATCCCCACTGCCCACAGCCTGGGGTGGGGACTCTGCACGATGCAGTGTTTACCTGAGGAGTGATTGGCAGCCCACGCTCTGCGTTCCCTCCCCCACCTCGGACAGTGAGCCAGACGTGCATTAGGATGAGAGTGACTTATCGAGCTGTCAGGGGGAGCGTTTTAAGACAGAATTATAGGGGAGAGGAAAAAGATTTTTTACCAAATTAATGAAAAATCAATCTGGCCTCAAAAATCCATTAGCCTTCATAATGCACTGGTTACAAGCCGGACGCATGTCTGCAATGGGCCGTTAAAGACTGGCCAGCCCCTGCCATTCGTGCCTGGGTCATATTTACTTCTGAGACTGACACCTGGCCCGACGACCAGAGTCCCCAGGCCCGACCCCAGGGGCCCACAAGGGCTTCACAGAAACTGGTGGGCAGCGGTCTGGGGCCCAGCGGATGAGTGGGTGGTGGGGGCAGAGTGTGGAGGATGGTCACTGGGAGGGAGCTGTGCACAAAATCTGGTCTCCGTGGGGTCCTTGCACTAGTGACAGTGTGGCAGTCAACGAATGAGTGACCACAACATGGCCAAGTAGCCATGAGGTTAGTGGCCGTGCGCCTGGACAGCGATGCTGTCTGTCTGCCCTGCTAGGAGAGGCTGCCAGTCTGAAGCCAGTAGCCGCTGTGTCCATGGAGATGTGTTCCTCTGTAGGGTGACCACTGAGTGACTGCCGGATGGAAGGGAACACAGTCCTCTCCTTGGGACAGACTTCCCGCAGAAGCCACTGGTTGGCTGAGTGGGCATTTGGGACTTGGGGTGGGGGCAGGGCTGAAACTCCTTCACACCCTCAAGACCCTGTCCTGAACAAGGACACCGGCCCTAGCCTTCCAGAGGTCAGGGAGTCCTACCGGTCGCAGTGGCCGCCAGAGGCTGTGGGTTCCCAGCACAGCAGCAGGCCCTAGTCAGAGCCTGGGGCCAGGCCTCAGCAAGGCTGCAGTGAGGGGGATTTCTCCAGCAGGAGGGAGCAGAGCTGCTGTCTGCTGGGAGCCCTGGCTGGAAGGAGGCCAGGACTTCTGGTCAGATTCTCCCCTCCTGGATTCCGGATTCCTGCTTCCAATGCCCCCTGTGTGACGTCACCTGATCCCTCTTTCTGACCTCTGTAAGGCCTGCAGCCTCCTGGGAAATCCACTTTACCCTGAAGCCCCCCTTCCCCCTAGGGGGTACCTCCTCCCTGCCAGCCTGACTTGTGGTTCTGGCCTTATTGAATCCATTCGTTTGTTCATTCATTCATTCATTCACTAGCCCCTGAGCTCCTCTGGCCAGTGGACAGGAGCAGAACACAGTTTAGGGCACAGAGCCGGGCCCTGGGCCAGAGGCAGCGGGTGAGTGGGGTGGACTTCGAGCAGGGGAAGCCTTGGCTGGCCTGAGATGAAGGTGGACCCTGGGGTCCGAGGCCTGGGACAGGACAGGAGTGAGAGTACCCTTCCAAGCTCAGCCTGGGACCTCGGGCCACACCCAGGCACATGGTGTCTCACCGATGAGACTCAGCGGGCAGCTCTTGGGGGCTCTGGTCTCATGTGGCCACTGGCCTACCCTCCCCTGCCCCCGGGAGGAGGGCTGTCGGCTAGCAGGGCTGTGGTCTCACGGTCAGATTCCACTTCACTACTGGTGAGGCTGGGCAGCCCTGAGGCCCGTCTGTGGTTACCTGGGGCGACCGCAGCTCACTTCCAGTCTTCATCTGCGGCTGACACGTACTAGCCACGAGTCATGTGGGCCAGCGGGTGGTGTGAGCAGGTTGCCTTCAAGGTCCTGGTGGGGCTATGGGGGACACTCAGGGGACCCAAGTCACAGTGGTCATGCTCACGTCTCAAACCCTTCCTTGCCTGCAGGGGGCCACCACCACACTGCTGCCTCTGGCTTGGACTTGTTCCTTCTCTTCGCAGGCGTGCGTGTGTGTGTGTGTGTCTGTCTGTCTGTGTGCTCGCACGCGCTCTC